GTCACTTTTTCTCTGGAAAAATAGAGTTATGTTGCAAGTGGCTTTATACTTTTGAAACAGGGGATATTTGGAAATCTTCTTATAAAAATGTATGTGAATCATTTTGTTTCCTGAAATAAAGAGAACAATGGTTTCCAAACACGCTGAATTCAATAAAGTTTATGGCAAGCCATGAAATACTCACCTTAACTCGGAAAGTTAGTTTTCATGGGTGGCTTTATACTTTTGAAACGCACTGTATTAATCAAAGGAAGCGAACGCGCAGGTTCCAAGATGGCCAAGAGTTCCATGCGTCTTTGTCGAGATAAGGGCTGAGGAGATTGCCCGAACTATTCCAAGAGAATTCCACGATAAAGTCGAAGAGAGGAAACTTACTAATGGAAAGACACGAGGACCCTCTAGGAGTGCAGATCGACATGCATTCGCAGTGAAGTATGTGTCCCCTGCGGTATAGCGTGACCATTTCGCGGCGCTATCGACGCGGCACTCCCACAAAATGGCTATTCACTCGCCGCAAGTTTCAGCCGTTAAGTGGGTTAGCCTCGAAGAGGACAGCACCGATGAGAGTCGCTTCAATACAGAAATCAACGGCCAAGGAAGGGGTCTCATTTCTCGAACTGGGCCGTTTCTCATAGCTTTTTCTTCACCCCCTTTTGCCGGTGAACCTATACTCGGATTCTAATAGGCTGCCTCGTGATCGTAAACTCATCGTCAGTCTTCAAGGGTCGTTAAAGGTACCGGGATTAGGCGCGCTCACCTGTTCCATCCCAGGGGGCATTGGACAGGCGGACAAGCGTTGATGTCGCGCCCCTTTTGCGGCTTGAAAGTGCGCGACAAGGAGCTCGTCCGACCCGCAACTCACACCTTCGTCCGCAAGCCCCACCCTCCGCTGTCGGTTGCCACGTGGCGCTGCTTGAAAAGCGCGGGCGCATTTGAGGCAGCGGTTGCATTGCGGCGCAATGTCATTGCACTGGAGCAAGTGGAGCGAGGTTCGTGAAACTCGTCCAAAACACCTCTTCCTTATCTCATGTGAATTGCGCGGCCTTTTTCACACCACCTTCCACCTCTAGATTCATAACTGAACGCTTTTCTAAACCCATTTTATCCCAAAGCTTGTTTTTAAGGCAATGCCGCTCCATATCAGAGGTACGATGGCAGTAGAAATCGGACCATATGGATAACTCCTACACGTCAACAACGCAGCTGTTGCAATACCCTCCACGTCGAAACGTACAGTCCATATCTCGCCGTCTGAGTGGGCACGTCTACGAAATTGACGCGGTACTTGATAGGTGCCGCGTGGGAAGATGAAACGTTGCTTCGCTAGAAAAGCAAAGCATGCGGGAACAGCTTATCCACGCATGGCGCTGTTTATAAGCCATCACTGTCTCTGAGGCGTCGGCTATTGTTCACTTGGATAGGTGTCCTACCCAATCCACTATGTAAGTTTCCTATTCGTTCGTGAGACTTATTGCGACCACTTCCCTGCTGCAACTGCGTCTGTAAAAGTTCATCGTAGATGTGATAACTACACAGTAAATTAGCTATAATGCAAACGTTTCATCATACATGAATTATAATACAGACACTATACAGAAAATGAGTAGTAGATATGGAAAAGGAAAAAATTAGAAAAAATCGAATTCGGGCAACGCTCTCCTTGATGTCTTAGGGGCTGTTGGATTTTCTTGTCGCTTTTGAAGGTGAAATTGTACCCACTCGTGATTCATTACCTGAAAAAAAATTAATATGCCAATAAATGGAAAGGAACAAAAAATGGTTTTAATAAGTGCCACGAAAGCCAGCAGCTTGGGTAATTTTCTGATTTCTTAAATTTACTTACACTATCTAACGACAGCCTTTCTTGTGGTCGCCGTTGAAGTAACTTATTAATCAAATCTCGTGCACCACTGGATACGTAGCTAGGGAACGTATAGCGCACCTAAAAATTACCAAATCGTCAACAAATGTTAGAAAGGAGTATAATAGAAAATATGAAGGCTTTTGCTATCGCATTTTTTTTTCTCAAAAACTATGTAAAAAACAACAAGCAACGATTGCAAAGCTGCTGCTGGAGTACCAGTTCGATTGCCTGGATATTCTTCATGTGAGCAAATGGATGAGTATTTAATATTGACCTACATTCCGAATAGCCTTATAAGTACTTGCGGAATCATCGTGCTCAAATGGAGGAGTGCCGACCAAAAACTCATAGCAAAGCACGCCGAGGGACCAAATATCTACCTGAAAATGAACTCATAAACACAACTCGGGGAAAAACAATTAAAACTTACATATTCTCGATGTTCTTCACCCACGACCATTTCCGGTGGCAAGTAATCCAAAGTGCCACACATCGTTTGACGTCTGAAATCAGACAGTGTGATGCTTGAAGTGCTCACGAAGCTTTTCGGGGACTTCCGACCTTTTACCATTTCAGTTCACTTGTGAGGTTCTTATAACAACGGGGAATGACCTTGTGCCGTGACAATATTTGACAAGGACAAAGCGGATTTGTGCAAAACGGCATAGCTTCGTTTTACTCAAAAAGAGCTTTAGATAGATTCCACGAGTTTTGAAGAAGGAACTGGTGAAAAATAGTGATAAAAAGGTAACAGTATAGCAAACTATAGAGGAGAACTGATGAAGACATCGAAAACGAGCACACGTTTGCGAAGAAGGATTGAGTGAGTTTGGCAACACACTCAATGACAGGACTCACTTTTGGTTGGGTGCGTGTACACTCCATCCGAAGTCAGCAATCTTTAACTCTCCGTTGTCACCAATAAGCAGGTTTTCAGGTTTTATATCTCTATGAATAACCTTCTTCTCGTGGCAGTACTTAAGTGCGTCTGCCATTTGGAACATGAACTGAAATTGCACGAAATCATCTTCAACAAAAATAAATCATTATTCCTAAGCCGCAAGTGTTCAAGATCCTATTAAATAAAGGGGAACGGCAGCCAACGTTTTTTTCAAAGACATACCACAGCAGCCGTTGTCTCGTCGAATCGATTCATCTTTTTGAGGAATTTGTACATCTCTCCACCCTGAAAAGCATGTTATCTGACTACCCAGGAAAATAAAAACGGCTTAATCGCACCTGTGCATATTCCAGAACCAGATAGATTCTTTTTTCGTCCCAGAAATAAGTGTACATGCGAAGAATGTTGGGATGTCTGAAAAAAAGTTATGCTTAAAACACAAAAGCCTGAGGAGATGAACAAAAAGAACGGATTCAGTGGATAACAGAGGCATGGTGTGAAGAACTAACAGCATGAAGTGATCCAGATATCAGTCTTATGGAGAGGAAAGTGACATTAACTTTCGTTTTATGAGGTGATTTTCTTTGCAATAATAAGTAGAAATTAAGAATAGTTGCCGCTACCTTAAATGCCCTTGAATTTCGATTTCTCTTCGAAGCTGATGTTCAACAGCGCTCTTCTTTAGCTGACTTTTGAACAACACCTGGAAAAGTAGGAAACTAAAATGGGTAGAGCAAGTTTTGTCGGACAATGAATCAAGTTACTTGGCTAAAAAAAAACAACTCACTTTTAAGGCCACGAGGAATTCGTTTTTCTTCACACGGGCTAGATAGACTGATCCAAATTTGCCTTTACCTAAAGGTCGCCCAATTTCGAAGTCATCTAGGCAAAACCTTCTGAAAATTAGTCAGAAGAAGTTTGGAGACAGCTGCATTTCGACAAAGACATCATTCAAAAAACGCTTACCCTCCCCTTTTAGTAGTGTACGTCGAGGGATCTTTAGGATCAAACTCTCCTTTCACAAAACTCGGTTCTTTGTTTTCCTTCGTACTCATGTTGACAAACTTGAAATACCTGAAACCAATAAAAATGAGAACACTAAATTAAAACAAAGAAATGCGAACAAATAAAGTAGAAGGCATAAGCATGGGGAAAAAGCTGAGTTCCTTCATAAAGATTTCCTAGAACGGGTCATCCCCAGGTGTTCCCTCTAAGAAACAAAATTTTTGGAGCTATACAAGTAGGGTGGGCACGCCGCATTTTTTGAACAAAAATGTACATTTGATTTGGAGATCGAGGAATTCGTGAGCCAGGGGAGTGTAGCCAATCTAGGGGGTGGGGGTGAGGGCAGTCACTTGACATGCGTGAAAAGCTGGGCGTGCCCACCCCACTTGTATAGAGCCAATTTTTTTCTGATAACGGATAGTTTCGGAAAAGTCTTACTTAGAATGAGGCTGGCGTTGAACACTGTTCAACAATATACACGTTAGTTGATTGATTTTTCCCTTTTTCGAAAGTGAGCACTGTAACGAACCAAACATGGAGTATTTCGTAAAAGGGGTACTCATTTGATTACCGTTCCAGTGAACTCCAAGTTCATAGCAACTTTGGGCGAATAACTTAGCAACAACCAGGTTCATACCGCCTTCTTTTCAAATCAAATCCAAAAAAAAGTCATTAAAATGAACGAATGAAATTGAATGTTTTGTTTTGCCGCCATGCAAAAACCGTCAAAATAGGGCGCGATATTGTTACCAGCACCATTGATATCCAAAGTGACCGCCAGTCCTCAACAACGGCTAGACATTAGAAAATACTGGCAGTATAGTCTGTCACGTTTCTATAGAATTATGTTACTGGCATGTACTTCGAATCTCACGAAGATTTGAGTCAAAATCTCGGTAAAATTAGTGCAAATGACGTGTGCCTACGTGCATTGCGGACAATGTCCTACATCTGACGTCATGTCATGGCAGAGTGCCAGACACTCCTCGTAGGGCAAGTTCTCAGTGCTTTTACGAATTTGTTGGGAAATCCCTACTTTCTTCTCTTTTCACCGAAGATTCCCTCTGGAAGACCGTGGTGCAAACCTCTTTTGTTGCAGTGTGTGCGGTATAATCCACACAATGGGACGTGCTAACTTCTCCTAAAGCTTATTCCATTAACGGCACCAGTGCTTCACTGTATACTGTGTATGTCAGAATTTCTTATCACCAGTCGATCAGAAAAAGGCTTACTGAATCTAAGCTTGCAATAGCTTCTGGCAGCAGCAGTTATGAGCATCGATTTTGCAAGCTAAAGAGCGGTCTGCTTGTACCGAACATTGATTAGGTGCCTTCATCCTACAAAGTATGGCAGTAGCATTGTCACGGCTCTGCAATTGAGTGCAGGTTCCTACGACATCCTTCTTTCATCCATGGGGTTTTCCTAGCACCACTTAAGATTCTTCACCCCGATTCCAAGTTCCAGATGTCTTATCTACGATGTGTCATAGGCTTTTGCCATTAACGCCGTTCAACGCATATTTCCCATCGTTTTGGGCTCTATTACATATACATTGCATCTGAGACTAAGCTCAGGGGATAGGGGAACTCCGGTGAGGGTAAAGTACTGTTGCAATAAACGGTGGGAGGGCGCAGACGAGCGGGAATTAGGCGCAAAATGGCGTCAGTGGCAAGAATGAATGTCATATTCGTAATCAGGACCCAAATAACCTTGTATACAAGTTTACAGCGAATTTGGTGAAAAGTGTCGTGACAAGGTGGCGCCAACTGGCGCCAGATGGCGCCACGCCAAAATGAATGTCATTTTCGTGATCAGGGCATCGAATTACCATTGCGAGCAAATTTTCGATGGGAAAGTCGAAATTTCGGGATTGCTATGGTTGAATAGTACCCATATATGTTCTCAGTTTCCGGCATTAGCGCTGTTCAGCGCTTGCTTCTGCTCTCCTAGGCTGTTCCGCGCATAGTGCTTCAGACTAAGCTGAGAGGAAGGGAGACGCTGGGATGGGAAACAGCGTACCCTGTGGAAAAAGTTGAAGTGCATCAGGTCCTAGGTGAGAAGCTTGTTCAGTTAGGATGCCTCCCTTCCTCAAATATTTAATCGTGACCCTGGCCTTATCAGTGAGGTAGCGCAGACGAACAGTAAGTGGGTGCCAAATGGCGTCAGCGCCAAAATTGAATGTTGTACTCGTAATCAGGCCACATATAACCCCTAGAAAAAATCTTGCCAGATTTAGTGAAAACAGCCGTCGTGTCAAAGTGGCCAGCTAGCACTAAATAGGGCCGGTGCCAAAATTTAGGATTATTCGGAGCTTAAGTAGCACCAAATAACCCTATAGACGGTTACCAAATAGGCGAGGTTTCGGCGGAATTCGAGATCCCGAGACAGCATCAGTGGGAATGTACCGAAACTTCTAAATCTTGCTGTGGTTTTTGTGAGAGGTGTCTATAAGTGACCGTTTCTTTCAATCTCGGTTTCCACCACCTTTTTTCTGTAGTTTTACTGCTTTTTTGTACGCTATCATGTGTTCAGATGTTTCGCTGCTCGCAGTGCAAAGCACTGCAACGTCAAGGGCGTATTCATCTTTGTTGGTCGGACAAGACATCGACCGTCATATTATTGTCCTGCCTAGTGAAGCATGGTGTTCTTACACTGGCTGAGGCAAAAGACACCTACAAGGATGTGCATGTCGGCGTAAAGTACATTTGTAATATACACTATGTCAAGGCGGTGAGTTTTTAAATTATCACAATTAAGGGACTTTAGTGGATTTCCGTCCTTCAGGTCCTGTACATTGTTGGGGAGATCGAGCGGATGTGGCACAGCTTACCGGCGGACTTTTCACCGGATGTTATCGATGATGTTCCAGTAGACGTCATCCAGAACATAGCTGCGCATCTTCAAGATGCCGCTTATTCCTTGGATGTGACCGTTCAGGTGAAGATCTTATTGTACATCAAGCTAAAACTGCTCGGCTTTAGCCTGCTAACTCCTTGAGATCTTCGCATTTCCGAAACTGGAGCGGAATTGAAATATGAATTTGACCGCATTGAATGATGTTAAACTTGCAGTAGTTTGAGGATTAGCTACTACGATAAGAACAGCCGGGGAGAAAAAAAAAGATGAGGATCGGGGATAACTGCTGAACCACTGTATAACATATAGGTTTTCTTATGATAACTCAACAGAGATCTACAAAGAGTGTATGCTTCTTGCGATTAGCTGAGGGTTTTTAGATTGAATAGGTTGCGCAGGGCAGACAGGACGTGATCTTAACCATGTCGTTCAATGATTTTCCATATCATTGGTATATGTAGTACAAAGCACTTCATGAGATTTCTGTGGGATCTCATTCAGTGAGGGGTACGTTAGTTCAAATGTATCGCCTGAAGTAATCCTATTTTCTGCAAGAGGAAAGCTGTAGGGAGAGGTGTAAAAGCGAGGCAAAGTTGTTCGCGCTTTCCAAAAAAGATCTCCACAACCCCCCTGCTCTGCTTTCTTACGCATTTACCGTTGTCTGGAAGAATCGTCCTCAGAAAATTAGGTCCCGAAGAACTTTAATTTCAGCCCCGAGAAGTCAAACCTTTCATAGGGATGCATTCAACTGTTCTTTATTCCTCAAGGAAAACACCGTAATTTGCCTAAAACTGTCTCTCTGTGCATAATAAATCGAATCTAATGCGGTCTGCACAAGCAATTCTTGCCCTCGGATACGCGCCTGTGGCTGGCAGTCCTCGAAATTGCGACCCCCTTCCGACCAAAATGCGACCCCTTCGTTCGAACAGTTCGAACGGACGGTTGACCCTGCATGGGGGTGCGGTTCGCTAGGATAGAAAGCGATTTTCCCGCTTTTCGCAGCGCGAAACTTCATCGTTGCAGGAATCCCGAGTCCACCCGATCAGTAGTTCTCGCAGACGTTTCGCGTGCGGAAAGCGGAAAAGTCACTTTCTATCCCAGCAAACCCCACCCGGGTATGTGAACAGTTCGAACCACCTCCAGATATTTTGATTTTTGTAGGGGAGAAGTTTCTCCAGAGGGGGGGTCTTCAAAAATGTCTTCGACCCTCCCCAACAAGTTCTTTGAAGGAAGTTATTATTGCTGAAAGCTCAAAAACTCGCATGTGCTGCTCAAAAACCTATGGGAACAAAATGTTCGAACGTGTGATTTTCTCGAAAAATGAATTTTGAAAAACGGTTTGGTGCTTGTTAGAAAGAGCAAATCCTGTACTTTCACCCCATGAAAAAAGTGCATCACAGAAATGAAAATGAAGTGAGTTATGCCCGCTTAAAGCCCAAAAACTCGCGATTTCAAAAAAAGTGTTCGGCAAAACCCCCCAAAATGTTCGAACGTGTGATTTTCTCGAAAAATGAACTTTGAAAAACGGTTTGGGGCTTGTTAGAAAGAGCAAATCCTGTACTTTCACCCCATGAAAAAAGTGCATCACAGAAATGAAAATGAAGTGAGTTATGGTCGCTGAAAGCCCAAAAACTCGCTTTTGCACGAAAAATGTTCGAACGGGACAATTTTTTGAAAAAGGGGACAATCACTAAACTTTTTATACTGTTTTGTTAGAGAAATATTTGAAGTTTCTGAAACTTTTTACAGATTTCCAAAATGTCGCATACGAAAGATTTTATGGGCCTTCAAAGTTGAAGGTGCGCCTTCTTAGAATTTTGGGTTTTCCACTTCTAACAGCCTTCTGACGCCACAGTGCAGACGCTTTCTGCGGCGGCGGCGCAGACGCTTTCTGGCGCAACGGATTCATGTCTAGCACTCTTATTAACAAAAACAGGGGGTCGCAACTGGACCCCCTCGAGAGCTAGGGGGTCGCAAAAATCCCGAAAATGTTCGAACGTGACGGTTGACCCTGCCCCATGCCCCCTCCACCTTTCTCGACGAGGCTATTTTTGTAAAAAAGCTTTGAAGATCGTGAAAACTGAAAACTGTGAAGTATGCCAGAGATCCTGTGAATGGAGATTTGAACCTTTCGCAATTATGATTTTGCGAGAAAACTATTGCTATATTTCAGGATGCTCTTGGCTTGCAGCCAAAAAATGTAGTCGCTTTTTTCAAAGGATGCATGACGAGATATAGCTACGACGTATTACGGTGCAGGTTCTCACTTTTGGACGCAAACTATGTAAATGACGACTCCGACGATGAAGATGTAAGAAGTACAATGTGTTAAGTCTTTTTACACGTCTACAACTCAGTAATTCAATTATGTGCGCTCTTTTTTCAGATGCTGGGTTTGTCACATCCTCAACAGGACTCTTCCTTAAGTACTGCCGACAAACTTCAAGGGCCTGAATGCTCAGGTGATTTCAAAGCCATGGGTCGAGATCGGATGCCAAGAAGTAGTCTTTTTTAGAGTGAGAAAGAGGGGTATCCGACAGAAGGCCCGCCGCGCGGCAGGAAGGCAGAGTCAGCGAACGAGTCGCGGCGCGTGCTGTGCCATTTAGGACGTACAATGGTACATTAAACCGAACCTCATTCGTATGGACTATACTGTGCCAGCGTATCGAACAGCCAAGATGGCGAAAAAATATTGGGGCAAGAGAATATTCGTCGATTAGCTGAGCCTGCCCTTCTCCCCACTCATCCAATCGAGCATGTATGAGATGCATTTTTGAGAGCTATTGCAGCACACCCACTGCGCCGATAACTGTCCAGCAACTGTCAATCGCAGCGTTGGACGGTTGGAACACTTCCCAAGATCTTTACGAACCTTGCTCACAAACCCTATTAAGAAGCGTATTCTGTCTCTCAAAGGTTAACCACGGAATGGGGTAGCCTCACACATCATTCGCTAAAATCATTATTAGAAGAAGAGTCCCGCTTCCGTTCTCGCCATTGCGTACTTCTGCCGGTGACCCCTGTGATATACTGTAGCAGTGAATCCTATGCTCTATATTCCATCGAGCTAGGTTAATCAGAAAAGAAATATTATAAAGTTGCTTTCGTGCCTAATTTTTGCAAATCAGTGCACATATACTATTGTGATTCTCCCTTTTGAGGATATATTTTCGCATCATAAAATCGAAAGTTATGGGATACCAAAGGTATTCAAAATTCAAGTACCACTTCTGGCCATTTATGAATGCTAATTCTAGCAGATCGTTGTTATAGCATTTCTTTACTCTTGTACGACCCGTTTTTTGTTCAGGTGAGGAAGGTGATATTGTGGAAATATCTGCCGAAGGGACGGAAGAAGATTCTCTGACCGCGGGAAGAACGGAAATAACTATTTCGTCGCCCGACGATCCTCAGACAAGTAAGTTCATATTTCATAATAAACCATTTGCCCGCTTTTCTTCAATTTTTTTTCGTTTGAGGTGCAGCATTAGTAGACAACGAACGGTCGACTGAGCGTTATTGTTTATTGTGCGAAACTTGTCGACATGAAAAAAATTTACGGGCAACATCGAAATATCCTGTGCAGAATCTGATACTTATTGGGGCACTGTTTATGGGTAACAAAATCAATATGGACACTGCTCGCCGTATTTATAATGATACCCGCTCTAAACGTGTGCGGATTTGCAAAGATCATTTTGTTGAAGCCGTGAGTTTTTTTCATTTTGTGTTGTGTTTCACGCATAGGAAGGTTTGATTAATTGCAGGGCCGGTTCATTAACAAAGAGGTACAAAGGCTCTGGGGTAGCTACCCTGGGCATGGATTCCAGGTACCTAGCTCAGTGCGGTCTTATTGCGTAGTGGCTTTTCAAAGGTTCGGGAACTCACTTGCTGTAAGTTTTGATTGTTTCCTTTTTTCTCATCTTAGGCTCTGTTATTTCTTTTCAGAAAGATGTGGAGCTGAATGAAATTGAAATAACTCGGTTTTACAATGATTGTATGGCGAAGTACCACAGTGAAGTCTGTTGGAGACATGTAAAGGTGTAGTGAAATGCGCTATTTTTATCATGACCTGAGCAATGCATGTTCTTTCAGACCTTTTTTTTCTAATCTTTGTTTGGCCTTGATGAATTTCATTAAGCCTTGTAGTAACCACCGGTGACTTCTGGGTGCGTAGCGTTTCTCCTCCTGGGGTCAGGTCACCTAAAATTGAGACGCCGTTCATTCGCTCGGAGCAAGCTTAGGACTAAGCCTAGGCCCAATCATAGGCTTAGGCATAAGCCAATGTGTAAGCATAAGCCTTAACCTAAGTCTAAACCCAAACTTAACCTTAAGCTTCAATGATCGCGCAACTGTGGTGACCTGACCCCAGGAGGAGAAACGCACGTCTCCCGTGATTTCTGGTCAAAGAGAAACGGGTGAAACACTTGATGGTTGCAACTCCTGATTCCTTCTGATTAATCAATGTTCAATTCCAAAATAACCTAATCAAACTTTGTTTTGTTCGTCTTTCTACACTTATAAAGTTACGTTACACATGAACATTTCCTAGGATCCTCCAAAACTATATGAAAGTGATGCGATATCTAGTTCATCAGCCGGTCAATCTGAAGATCCCGAAGAGGTCGCTATAGGTGAGTGTTGTTCAACCTATTGAATATGGGGGTCATGTTTTTTTTCCTTTTTTCACTTAATCGTTATAACAACGTGACAATACCGGGATTGTTCGAGCAAGTTAGATAAAATATATTGAAAAAGAGCTGCTAGGAGTACGACCTTCTTTCGCGGTTAATGAAAGAATACTGGCATGGATTTTGATCGTGATATGAAAGGGGGAGGGTGCAGAAAGCAAGCATCTACTCGGAAAAATTGGCTCTCAATATCTTAAAAAGACAGGGGCGGTTCTGCCAGCAGAGTAATGCGAAATGTTGAATTGTAATTTGATTGTTGATTGTTAACCGCTCTTTTTGGCTGAATTCGCCATGCGAAAACTAGCATGAATGCTTAATTATGGGCGAAGCTGTTTTCCTAGCAGGAATGGAAACCCCATCTTTCCTTTCCCTGGCAGCTGTGCCACCGTTTACGACAGCCTTAGGCGTTTTTCAACATTTTTATTGATCTGGCACAAGTTCCTTCCGCAATCGGCTTTTCTTTCATTTATTCAGTTAATTTGCATGCGATTTCCTTCATCACCTTTCAGATTCTACCCACTTGCAAGCCGGCATTCGTTTTTTTTTTCAGACAAATTTTGCGCAAATTAACCAACTCCTGAAGAATGAAATGTTCGTGGAACTGGTCCGGACTCCTTTTGGGATTTTCTTTTTCTCAATCCCTCTCGCCCTTTCTCCCTCCCCGGACCGTACTCATTAAAAGCGACACCATTTACAACCGCACCAGCTCCTCCTTCAGTTGTAATATTTCCAATTTCGGATATTTCTTCTTCCGTGAAAGTCAATCAATCGCAGAGCCATTTCTTCGAAAGAAGACCAAGAGAACGGCGCTTTCTCAAGCTTAGAGCATCACATGTACTACGGTCTGGGCCTTTTCGGAAATGCGTACAGATCAGTATGAAAAGTTTTATTTTTAGTAATTGTTTTGGTTCCATTTGATTTGTTTTAATTGTTGAGTGTGTAGTTTTTGATCTTCCGAGAAGTCATTTTCGTCGGCACAGAAACAGGTAAAGTTTGAATATGAGCCATCTGACCAGGCTTTCAATGCAATATATCTTATGGGGAAGGGAGGGGGCTCATCTTATTCTCACCAGTTCTCGATCTATTCATCTAGAATGGTTGGCGCAAAATGGGTCAGGTTCTAATTCTACTGGGATAGAACAAGCCAGAACGCTGTCAAAAAATTAACATGAAAGGAAGAAACAGCTCATTGTTTAAAAGTGATTTCCGCTCTTTCCTGATGTAAGAAATTCCGAAAACATCATATTTTCTCGTTTTTTTGCGGTACATTTATTGTCATTTCAGATGATGAATCAGGGTCTAGTCGTAAACGGAAACTTCCAAGGTAACCTCTCCATTGTGGGGCTTCCTTAAAAATGATTAGATTCTTCTGTTACAGTGTGAACTCGTCCGATGTCATTGATAAGAAAATGAAACGCCAGAAAGATCATTTCTGTGCGGTGTGTGGTACTAATCGACCAGCTGAAGACTGTCGTGAAGCGTCGTTGTCCGATATTGTGATCGTGGTTGCTTGTATGACAATGGACTTCAAAATTGATGCAACCACCAACAAAAGGCTACGTGAAGAAATTTTGCATGGGTGGAGGTATTTGTGTAAGAAGCACTATGTTGAAGCAGTAAGTTCATTCTTATTTTTCACCACACCGTCAGCATTCCGCTGTATTTATCGATTTACTTTAAAGGCAACATTTCTTTACTGTGAAGTGCAGCAGAACGGAGAAAATCTATCCGACAGAGATTTCGCTTCCCTCAGTGCCCTCACGAAGTACGGTTTGTGTGAACGGATACAAATGTACTGTGACCTAGTCGGCGTGAGTAATATTTGTTTAGTTTTTTTATACTGTATTTTTTCTTCTGCAAGGAATTTTTTTAGAATGGATTTGGTATAATGTATGACGATTTATCATGTTTCTTCAATGATTGTCAAACAAGGTACGACATTGTGCAGCACGCTGAAGCACAAAGTGCAATACAAAGTAGGGAACAGAGGAAGCAGGTGAGGTTTTCCACTGATGCTGAGCACATTCCTATGAAGTTTATTCATTACTTTTTGTGGTAATTTCATATATTCCAGGCAACTGTTGCGTCAGTGATTGATGAAGTAGTTGCTCAAACTTCTATGGACAGTGCCATTCGAGAATCCGTTGTTCCGGTCCAACCAGTGGCTAGGGACTACAATATGATGCCTGGTATGTTCAGCAGTTCAATTCTCTAGTGTTTTCTGCGGGCCTACTATTTTTACTTGAAAAATACCTGTTATTTATTGTTACAAACATTTCTGATGGCTTTATGGTCGCTGGGTCTTCGAAACGAAATTCCATGCCGCACTCAAATGCTCGCGTACGCTTTTCGGTGCGCACCTTCTACTCATCTCTAATTCTTCTTTTCAAATCTTCTCTAATCTTGAGACCTGCACTGTTTTGCACGCGCTCTAACTGTCCAATGCTTCTGAGGTGGTCATCACTCTCTTGAATAATATTTAGAACGGCTCTGAAAGTTTGATCGATAAAGGATAAAGGATAAAGCATTTGCCGTTGATCAATCCCTTTTTGGGATGCGGCACGCATTCTACTTCCATTTGTACATTCGTAGTGGCGTTTGAATGCGATGTGGCCTATACAATGACTTGCGGGGGCCAGCCGATGTACAAGTCAGTGTTTTTATCCTCCCAGACAAGTCTGGTACCAATTAACCGACCCCGGAGGGATGGAAGGCTTGGTTGGCCCGGGCGACTCACGACCCAGGATTTGATCCCCGGACCGCTCGCGTGGTCCACTTGCCACTACACCACTTCTGCCCTTGATCTTCTTCAATCGTGATCGATATACAGCATATTTTTGCACTTTCTACATTCCATTACCTTCTTTGGCAGTGCTCTCGTTTCCTTTGGGGTTTTTGGTTCTGTGTGGTGAGTGTGTTGAGCCTATTACATCCATAGAGGTTTACTTCAAGTTCTTTCAACATCTCCAAAGAAATGAAACATCTTAACACATTGCGTACCGCGTGCGCCACCATGTGGCGCACGATTTCGCACGAAACAGCATAGTTTAATCTGATTTATTTGACATTTTTCAATGCTCCTGAACTGTTTGCACTCATTTTCAGAGCCGGAAACCATACGTGTCATCACTGATAAAATTGTTGGTAGATTAATGATGATACATTTTTGAAAAATTATATAATTTATTTTCAGATAAAGCCGAATGTTCGATGTCATATGGCGAGTCTGAGCCGCTGCAAAGGTATCAGTTTCTTTGCTACGTTCTCAAACTAGTTTATATCGTTTTTCTTTGTTGCAGAGGTGGTTTTTGGTCGAGAGGAGAAGTGGACTTTGTCGATTCATCGGATAGGCGTAGAAGATTGGAGTTGTACCGGAGAGCACCCTTGATAAGCCGGAATAGAAAGCAGTTTTGTGGGCTCTGCTATCAAAATCGATGTGTGTCCAACTTTCGGAAGGCCATGTCAACGTCAAATAGAAGTCTGGCTATACTACTATCGTTGTTGCTAAAACAAGACTTGATTCCTGTCAAAGTGGCAAAGGCACGCGTACAAAAACCGTTCTGCTTTATTCATCTGCCATGAGCACTTTATCCAGGCGGTAAGATATTCATAGATGCATTTCGACTTTCTTCTGCCATAATTATTATAATGTTACTCAGTGTTGCAAAAAATTCAAAATGGGCAACCTTCTTTTCTTTAAATACCTTATAGTTGAATGTTGATGTACCGCTTGGTGTGTTTTCAAGTCTTTGTAGCATGCGACCAATTATCTTTCATTGTGAGTCTACGCACAAAATAACAATTGGACATGTTGTCATCTGGAACTGGATTACCGACTTTTTTTTATTCTGTGACAAAATGCAAATTATTGAGTTTGCAGGGCGCGTCTATCATGGCTGACATTGAGGATAAATTTGGCAAACTCGATGGGGACGCTGTGCGCAATAATCTCCCTAGCGATTTTATGGCTGCCTTGGTTTCCAGTATCCACGTGTGTGGAGATCTCGTTACCGTAAGCACAAAGTCATTCCTTATTATTTATATACATTTACAAATTTTGTTTAGACTGACATAAAACCGAGAACGGCTGATCTTTATAATCTTTATATATTTATCAATGATTACTTGAACACATATCATGAAAACCGTGACTGGAAAATACAAGAGGTATCGATGGAAACTGAATTTGCATTCGATGTGAAGGTAAGTAAGAGCCTCTATTGTTCCTCTTGGTTTTTTTCATTGAATCCCGATTTAGCAGGAATCGCAGGAATCTTCCCCGTCGAGTTCTGTGGAGATTCTATTTGGAAATGTGGAGAATGATGATGCTCTTGGTAAGCTTTTTTATAGACACCCAAGCAGACGCTTTGAGTTTTTCAGTAGAGCGAAGGTTTCCTCTTCCCTTCTTCCTATAAATCATACTCGTTCGTACACTTTAGACGTGGAGGTATTGCAAGACAGTTGTAAAGAGGAGTTATTCACTGATTGCAAACAAGAAAATAGCGATACCAGGTGCTATTTTTTACTGTTAAGCATTTCATGTTTCGATGTCTTACTTTCAAAATAACACTCAGTTGTTGCAGTGAACTTCTTATTATTTATACGTCTCTGAAAAGATGATGGAACACTAATATTTTAGCTCGCACACATTCCCTACCCATCCAGAAGACACCAGCGCAACAGATCATCTTCAAACATCTCCCTTTCATTCATCTATGTCAAACCCATCTCCCTCTTCACTGCGTGAGTTTTGTACGCCTCTTAATCCGTTCCTCGGACGCTTTTCTTTGATGAATTTAAGCCCATGATTTCCAGAAGCCTCTATGGACGAGGAAAGTCAGACAGCGCTAAGCGATTCCTCAGTTTGAAGCCGAGATGTTCAAAGAAATCTCAATCACAGATCTCCTGCAACCAGCGAATTCTCCGGAAGATGCTTCTACGAGCCATTCTAGTGAGCAACCGTCCATTGTGCAATTTTTGTAATAGGTATATAATATTAGGTTGGCACATAATTTCTAATAATTTGAGACCACTTTACATGTATTGCTGTAAAATCTTTCGAGAAATATTGAAGATTTCTGATATGTCTTTCAGTTCAGACACAAGCTTACCTATCCGAGAGGCTAGCTACCTCGTTTGCTTGTTGCTTTCTTTAGCTAGAATTCCAATTTTCGAAACCTATTTCTGAGCCTCTTTCTTCATGACTACCGATTAGGATCTTCCACGCGCCAAGCTATATGGAGGATTAACCAGAAGATAGCTGAGGGCACGCTCTCTCAATCCACGGTGCGCCGGTGGTTACCTCTACTCAGGGTTCCCTTCTTTTATTTGAAGATGATCCACACTCCAAGCACCCCTGGACTGGCAATCTCGGTGCTCTATGTGGCGCCATTGGAAAGGAATCTGAACAAACTGGTCGTTGTTTGCCAGAGCGCTTCTGATGCAATGAAGTGACAGTACTGAGACATTTGCATAGCGTTGTCAATATACAAAGGAAGTATAGAATTTGTAATTCACATGCTCTTCCCTGGAATCAGCTCCAAACGGTATGACGTCGTCATGTTCCTGTTGATTTCTCGTGGTTTATTCTAGTGATCACCCAGCATGTTCATTGCAAACGTGGACTGGGTGCTGCGTTCTAACAAATCAAGAAGCGGCAGTAGCCTAGCTCAAAGGATTGGGGAGTCAGAAAACCAAAGAAAAGAAGAGAACCAAAGACCATCAGCTCATCCTCTTACGAATTCGATCCTTCCTAGTTGTTGGTGGAATACAAGAGTGGCTAAGAGCCGGAAACCATCACCCAATAATACCAGGGTGTAAAGAAAAGAAGCATGAACGGCTCGACGGCGACGCTCTGAAAATGAAATCAAAGTGAGACAAAGTCTGATTTTTTTCTGAGGTAGTTCGACTCTACTTGAGAGAATTCATGAGTAATTTGGGGCTCTTCAGCCGACAGTTCCACTAGCCCCACCGTGTAGCACTAACCTCGTGCCATCGAAAGAATATTCGCTCCATCTCCAGTTTACCTGTTGAACTGTCTTCGTCAAAAAATCAATGGACTTTTACAAGAGAGGCATCGAGCACCTAATCTTTCGTTGAAGATGTGCTGGTGTTATTATTAAATGTGGGTATACTAAATTGGATGAGTATATCAGAGATATCAGAAAAGTAGTTAAATCAAAAAGCAGCCAAGGTGTCTCAAATAGTGTGCCAACCTAATACTTCCAATGAAACATGGCCACTTGTTGGATGACTTCTGGTATGTTGACGTAACTTTATAACCGAATGGTTCATCTGGGACGAAGGCCCACTGATTTACTCGTGTTAGTCGGAGCGCTCTAGGCTCCAGACCGCCTTTCCATCTGTAGTTTTGGCAGTACGCCGGTGATAGTCGTGCAATGTGCCCCTGAGCCCAACCAGAATAGTTGCAGCGCACTCTGGCAGCAGTACGAGTGTTATGTTTCATATAAATTAGCGCATTTTTCAGCTCTTCTACTTCGCCTTTGAAGTAGACTTTTTTTGGAAAAATTGTGAAAATATCATTCATAATGTCCTTTTCATCATGCTGCAGTCATAAGTAAGCTGTTACCATTCTGTTTAGAAAACACTCATGAAAATGGCAGTATCGAAACAATAAAGTACGGTTACCCTCCTGATTCTGGTCACGATTACGAGGAGCCGGAAAGGTATATTTTGGTCATTGAATAAGTGAACTTTTGAAACCAGGCAAGGGTTGGCCGCGACGGTGTTTGGCGGATTTTAAGAGCTCGCTCTAAGCTCTTCAAGAGCTTTTGACGCGAAATCACTACAGTACGCGCTGTGACTCGTCCGCTTACTCTGCCTTGTTGCTGCGCGACGGGTCTCTTGTCGGGTACCGCCTTTTGATTCTTGTCTCTTATCAAACAAAAGAGAATCAGAGCACAGTAGAGTGGCCTTCTCGCCTCCCTTTTTACCCAGATTTTTATAGGGCCTAGTGAAGTATAGCACTATGTATGAACGAAGGCGTTGAAATTCGTTGAGAAAATTGTGCAACGAAATGTGCAGCAATTGGTTAGATAGCAATAATATCCACACCTATATAAAGTGAAGTAGTAATATGGAGCAATAATAACAAATGTCATCATAATGTTTGTTACTTGAAGAAATTTCATATACTTCCAGGTTTGACGACTTTGATTCCGAATTCAGAAGTATGGAAGAAAGTGCATATCGAGTGTATTGGAAGAAGGCCCATCGAGCACATTCTGGAATATCTATATATAGCTCGATGATAAGTCAAGGCGATTGAGTTCAGCGATCGAGGCCGAGCAAATCCGAAAAGCAACGCTTCCGAGGAGATTAATGCGCAGAGATCGTCGCTCCGATACAACAGTTGACTCGTGTGGCTTTCCCGAGGGGAGGACTTCTGGATCTCCGTTTCGAGAGCAGCGACAGCCAGCCGATGAGGTGTGTGGTGTGCTGACCCCAGAACTAGGTTGAAAACGCTATCATCCATATGCTCGTCGTTGCTTTGTCGAAAGCCCAAAGAGCCCGTTTGTTGGACGACTGCGTCACAGTGGCGCGAGAAATGGTAGTGCTGGGGCGAGCGCAAACCACAACAGAAAGCCATCTCGAGTCTTCCAAACCGGTTTAACTGGTCGTGTTGTGTCGGCGCTGGCTTCTTTACCATTCATCGTCATCGGCAACCGCGATTCGAATTCTGCTGAAGTTTTTTGTAATCAAATCGTCCACGTTCACAAGGAACTCACCAGAGGAATGCTCGATGGACGAGACACAGGACTTGTCCTTCTCTATGATAACACCCGGTCCTATGTGACACGAGATACTATAATTCACCTGACTAGCCGAAATTTTGAAATTCTACCATATCCACCGCAATCCCCAGATCTCTTACCTTCAAATTTTTACTTCTTCAAGCGTCTCAGTGAATTCCTAGCTAAAAGGGAACTCATTAATAGGACTGATTTAGAGAATTTGCTGTGTTTACTTTCTTTAAATCGAGAACACCGCAATTCTTCAAAGGCGGTATTGATGCGCTCGTTCAACGATGGCGGAAATGTGTCGAGGCGAAAGGAACCGTTTTTGCTTGATTTATATATGATTTCGTGATGTATAGATAAAAATTTTCCTATTATTCTGATTTCTTTGAGAATCGTGAGCAAACTTTCTCTGCTACGCACATACACTCTGTTTCATGCAGCCAGAAATCCACGTGGCACACGTGGCTAAATTCTCGATGAAAAGGTGACGTCACGTGTGCTCAAAGATGTTCTTGAATCGATGCCACGTTCAATGCCACGTCAATTTCTGCAATTGCACAATTTCTGGTCATTTGAAGGCGAGGGTTACAATGGCTTCAGGTGCAGTCAATGGTCACAAGGGATTTGT